AGGTTATGCAGTTCATAACGCCTCACAAATGAGATCACACTACAATTCGTCGAAGAAACAAGTGAAGCCGATCCTCTGACCAATTGTCTGCTTAACAATTGTGCTATCTCTCCTGCCCTGGGCTATCCACCAATCCTATGTCATCGTATTACTTCTTAACTATTAGAATTTCTTAATTGCCTATTTAAATGTGGTATTGTGTGCCATTTTCAGCGGATTTCATGAGAATTCTCCACACCCCACGCTGGCTTTTTCACACCCTCACCCCTTCATCTTTGTGGTGGGGAATGTTGATCAGAGTCCGCCAAATTATTCTGCAATCATCTCCCCATAGGTCTTATCAGAATCTCCCTCTTGCTCTGTAGGATCCGCTTCCTACCATCCTGGTTCATGTATTTCACTGGACCTGTGCCACCCTGTCTGCGCTATTCGAGACGTTATTTCCAACATGGACTGAAACCTTTGATGGGACGCATACTTCCTCCTCGCTGAGTAAGCCTCTAAAAATAAGGATTCTCAAGACTTACTTTAGACTAAAGTCTTTGAGTAATTTTCATGGTCAAGCATTTGCTTCGTGGACCAAGTCTACTGTTAGCCAACAGGCTCTATTCTCCGCCACACCCATCATGCTTCTATTCATAGTGCCTAGTCCATGACTTCCTATGTCCTAGTCTCTTCTGTGTCAACCCACAAATGTTGTAGTTCTGCATTGAACCTAATCATAACAATTGCGTTCCTCGTAAATTGCCTGCGCTGCTTATTAGTCTTCTGTCTTCACGTGTTCTTTCGTTCAAAGAGAAAGAGATCGCTTCCTTTAGCTAGTTATTTTGGGAATTGTGGATAATGCAAAAATAAATTTTCCGCTAAACCTGATGCTTTTGCATTAAACGTAATAAATTTGTTGCAAAACGAAGACTGAATTTAAGTTTACGAGGAAGACTTACACTTTATTCGCATTTCTGATAGGTTTCCGTACTTTAAGCACATTGACTAAGATGGCAAGCTTCCTCCTGTTGCCTCGACCTTTCACAATATCGATGTAAATTGAAAGGAGTCCTTCAGTGGCTCAAAAATTTTCAAGCATATTGGTAACCAGCTTGTCAATCGACTCAACATCTTGGGTCCGAGGCCAATCAGGGTGGAGGAAAAGACATTTGGTGAAGGCGAAACTGTAGTCCACTCTGAATGATAAGTTAATTTCGGATTATAAAATGTCCTAAAATTGGATGACAAAAACAAGATACATAAATTATTGATAAATCAATCACCAGTCACCAGCTCATACCTGGATTAGTAAATTAGAAATTATATTTCCAGTACAGTATTACTATAATTTAGGTATTTCTTTATTTTTTGATGCATGCAGGCACTTTTTGGACCCGTCTCAGAAGCCAATGGCCTTTCAAGTTTTATGGAGCCCGATTTACTGCAACCGGCAGATACCAGTTCAGAACCTTGCTATAAGAGTACAGACCCTTCGGACCTTTCGTCTTACGCTGATCTGTTTGCCTGGTCAACTGTTGTGCCAGATTCCCAGTATTCGGCGGAACAGGCTTCTTATGATGCATTCGTACTAAGTTGCAGCCCCGAAGTTTTGACTATCCAGAATTCATCCCTGCCAATCGATATCAAAGAAATTACCCCTTCCTGGGAGGAAACTAGGCTGTTCCATGTAAAACCGCCATCGTTACAGGCCAATTCTCCAGGCCCTGCTAAGCAAACATCACGAATTGCGATTCCTTTAGACTCGGATACTGTACTGAAATCCGAATTTCCTCCAAGAATGTGCATGCTTCTTAACTTATACGTGCTTTTAGTTCTATTTTCTGTTGGCTTTGCAGCAATTACGGCTCTTTTCTTCCTCAGCAAGCTTCATTAATCATGCTTCGTCTGAGAAGTTAGAACCAATGCCCTCGCTGCAATTCATATCCTTTTTTCCATTTCCCGACATTTTTTGTGCATTTGTTAACACAAGGGGAGAAATTTCCACTAGGTTTTGGTACTGCTCTTTCTATGTGCACGACCTTGTCCGACCAGCCAACTTCGCAAAAAATTCGGTTTGGCCCTTGCATGAAAGCTATTTATGCCTCAACGAGTGCATTTCTTCACCACACTATAGGCTTATGCTGATACTTATAGCTATGGCCCAATACTTTGCATTCACAAGCTTGGATATTGAGTCTTCTCTAAAAAGAATCCTACTAATTAATTCTTATTGCTCCAATCTCATATCATTTCACGATTTCGCACTTGGATTTACCGCGTAATATTCTAAGGGGGTTGATTTTATCAAACCTAGGGAGGATTCTATAATACTTATTTAGTTTTCATTATTCATTATATCTCTTTTGTCTACATTCTTCTTTCCTACTTTCCGTCCTTTATGAATGAAGGCAGAAAACCTTGTACCCCGTATAATTTTCATGTTTTTAAATAATTTTATGGTGAATAATTAGATGAGACAAAACTGTATTATCTTCCCTTGCACATGAATAGTTTTGATGTATTATATCTTTTACTCATTAAAATATTGAGAACTGTGTGATCGATTGCAGTAGCAGAAAGAGAAGTGTGG